CATTAAATGTTCTGTTTTCTTCTGAAACTTTTCTTTTCTTGGATTTATCCACGGTTGGCCTACCGGGGGTTGAAAAGCTCAATAAATTGTGTGCCGATGGGTGTCGCACATTGGCGGTTGTGATGCATACTTTGAGTGACAGGGAGCCAGAGCAGAGGGATGAAAGAGCCACATGCGGCTCCAGAGCCACAGGTTGCTGACTCCTGCTCTAAACCATAATGTAACTTGATTTTTGGTAGCTCAGAGGGAGAGAATGAAGCTGTCAGCCCTGGAGGCCATCTTTTCTTTGGAGCTTCAGGGCTGCCATATTTAGTGCCTGGGAAAAGGGGAGGGGGGATTTATTTATTTTATTTTATTTTATTAAATTTCTATACCGCCCTTCTCCCGAAGGACTCAGGGCTGTGAACAGCCAGAAGATAAAACACAGGAAATACAAAATTTAAAATAAATTAAAACAAATTAAATAATTTAGGCTGAATTTTAAAATACCCCATAATTAAACAGATTAAAATTTATGTTTAAAATTTAAATTTAAAAGAGGAGATGATTTGCAAAGAGTTGGTGAAGATATATAGCCACAACAACATTCTTTTCTCCGAGAGTCAAGGACGTTCAGCCTTCACCTGGATGGGAGTGACTGGGGGTTGTCTCCAGTTTGGACGATGGGTTGGTTGATTGGATCTTGTGATGGACATGTGGGTGCAAGAGATGGGTCTTTGGCTTTCTTTTGGGTGGGGACAACCAGGGAACTTTCAGATTTGGGTTTTCCTAGATATGCCAATATGACATCTCTAATAAAATGGATCTTTGAGGAATTGCTAGCCTCGGAGTTTTCTTTAGTTGGGGGTGTTACTTGGAACTCTGACATAAGCTTCACGGTTAAAGCTGTGGTGGTGTCATCAAAGCTACGGTTAACATGGACCCACATTTTAACAGATATGAAAAGGATTGATTAATGGCCATCAGGAAGGAAAATAGAATCTCCACATTGGTTGAGTAAGTAAAAATCGCCTTGGTTAGGAAATCATCGTCTTCAGTCTTCCTGGAGGAATCTAACAGGCAAGCCACGTTAAGTAAAACTTTGCACTGGTTCAAACAAATCTATTATTTTAGGGGTTAACATTTTTGATTAGCTTTATTAAGAAATAAGCAGCCTTCTAAAATGAATGAAGGCAAACATACAGGTCTCAGGATAATGTTGCAGGATCCCATCTGGGTCGGTCACTGGGACCGACCTCTGGATGACCCAGATGGAATCCTGCAGCCTTCTAAACAAGCACAAATTACCGGTATATGCAAAATGTTCTACCTGCTTTTGATTATAATGACGGAACTTTGGGTATTTTGAGAATTTAAGAATTTAACTTCCAATGGTTTTTATGAGTTTGTGATTCGGATGCCTGAGTGATTTGATTCAGTTCGGCTCTACCCTAACATCTTGCAAGGCAATAGTGACATCTGCTGGTTTGTCTCCCACAAAGGAATTTGATTTACCAAAATTCCAAGCAAACTCAAGTTTTGGAAAGTTTTATTACTACAGTGTTTCCCCGAAAATAAGACCTCCCCGGATAATAAGCCTAATTGGGCTTTTGAGCACATGCACTAAAATAAGACACACACACCCCCAAAGTAAGCCCTCCCCAAAAATATTTAGCCGCATGTGCAGGCAGTCCCCACTATTTCCTCTGGTTAGGATTAGAGAGACAGAGATGGAAATCAGGTAAGACAGCAAGAGGAGCCCCATCTCGCTCCCCGCGCCCCAAAATAATAAGACCTCCCTGAAAATAAGGCCAAGCGCTTATTTTGGGGTTAAAAAAAATATAAGACAGGTTCTTATTTTCATGGAAACACGGGTATTATTTATTTATTAAACTATATGCAGCCCATCTTACTGTCAAACAACTCTGGGTTATAAACAGCATAAAAAGAAAGGTACAAAACGTTAAAATTATTATTTTTAGGATCTTTGCGAGGTTGGGAAGTAGATCTGCACAAACCTTGAAACCCTAAGCATTTTCAATACCTCAACTGGAGACACGGCAGAAACTTTTTACAGTAAGTAGTTCAGTAAGTACACTCACGCGTACAGGAAATGCAGTCCTCGATTTGCAACCATGACTGAGCCCAAAATTTAGCTTGCTAAACAAGATAGTTGTTAAGGGAATTTTGCCCCATTTTGCTACCTTTCTGGCCACAGCTGTTCAGTGAAGCAGTGCAGTTGTTAGTGACACGGTGGTTAAGTGAATCTGGCTTCCCCATTGACTTTACTCGTCAGAAGGTCGCAAAAGGAAATCACGCGACCTCGGAGGCCCTGCAACCGTCATAAATATGAACTGTTTTGCCAAGCATCTGAATTCTGATTGCATGACCACGGAGTTGCAGCAATGGTCGTAAGGGTGAAAAAAAACAGTCATCACTTTTTTTCAACGTCGTAACGTTCAATGGTCGCTAAACAAACGGTTATAAGTCAAGGACTACATGTAGACTTGCCCCTGAAGATTATTCAGAAACATTGGCTGATCTAGAACAGTGGCCCCCAACCTTTTGGGCACCAGGGACCGGTTCCATGGAGAGGCTTTTCCGCGGACCGGAAGGGGCCTGGTTTTGCATGCTGCCTACATCCCGCGGATGGGGTTTCACTTGTTTATGCGGCCTAGTTGCTGGAATGCCGTAGACCGGTGTCGGTCCATGGACCAGGGGTTGGGAAGTCCCCTGACCTAGAACATAATGGTTCAAGCAGCTATGGGCACCAGTTGATTTTTGTTGCGGCCCGCCAGTGGCCAGCGGACCTGGCAGCAGATTCGGACAGTTGAGGGGGTTGAGGAGGAACATGGGCCATTCTTGGAGTCTGGGGAAGGCTCTGGTGAGGGCTCTGCGTCAGAGGCAGAGATGGGGCCAGGGCCGTCTGACAGTTATCAGCTGCCTTCGGGTCAGACATCAGTGAGGCAGACGAACAGCTGGAGCCTGTTCCCAGTGTGTGCATGCGCAGAGTTGCCAAACACAGGGAACAGCTAAGGAACAAGGGTTGACTTGGGAGTAAGGCCACAGGTGGACGATGAAGGGCCCCTCCCAGAGGGAATAAAAGAGGAGTGAAAGGGGAGGGGTGTTTGCAGGAGGCAATTAGTTCATTCCTGCATTCTTGCCAAGTATTGCAGCATCTGAAAGGTATCGGCCTGGCCACTCTCCAAGCCTGATAAAGGTCGGTAATTGTGAACTATCTTGAAAGACTGTGGGAGAGGAAAGACTTTGCTGGAGAGGAATTCACTGCAAATGAAATAAAAAGGGTTTATCGGGACGAGGACTCGGCTTCATGCTGCTGGGGAAGCCCAGGTCAGAACAATTTTCGCATACAGTACCTCTCCTTGAAACACTGACTGCCAGTCCAACTCCAAGCACTATTTAAATTTTCACTATGACAAAAGTCAGTAAAGTAATGCTAATACAATATGATCGCAACGCCAAGCTCTAATAGGCCAGCTGCCTATTATTTTGTGCTATCTGAAGTTTCTGAACATTCAGAAGACATTCCTCAATACATACCCTACACAGTAATAATATGTATATGTGGCCCAAGTCTTAGTTAATATATGATCTCTTTAATAATGTTGAACAAGAGATCATCTAAATCAAGATAAAATCTAGCAAGTGAGAAGCTCTGTTAAAATTAAGAAAATAAAATGAATATAGGTTTATTCTTTCTTTTTTTTTTCTTTCAGGGTTGCTGCTGGAAGATAGTCTATCAATCCGTGCCATCACTTTAGGACATGGACATATACTGGTGGGAACAAAAAATGGAGAGATTCTTGAAATTGATAAAACTCGCCCCATGACGCTACTTGTGCATCATGTATAATTGCTTACTTTATGTACCAAAAGCTGTATCAAAGAGCATAACTAGCATTTCTACATTTGCTCATTTGATTCATTTCCTATTTAATTTTATTTATTTATTTATTTTATTCGGCTTATATGCCGCCCTATCTCACAATGGACTCAGGGTGGCTCACAACAATAAAACACAAGCCACAATAAAAATAAAAGACTAAAATCTAAAAAAGTTAAAATTAACCCATTAAAACCCTTAAAACCCCATCATCAGACCAGGTTAATGTCACTGTTAGCCCTCAGTACTTTTTTGCAATTTACTGTATGACTGTAACTTTGTAGCTTATATCCTTACGAATTATATTGACTGTTTTCTAACATGATTTGATTGCTTATTTGTAACCTATGATCATCATTAAGTGTTGTACCTTATGATTCTTGACGAACGTATCTTTTCTTTTTATGTACACTGAGAGCGTATGCACCAAGACAAATTCCTTGTGTGTCCCATCACACTTGGCCAATAAAGAATTCTATTCTATTCTACTCTATTTAGTTAATTTAATGAAGAAGCTATTCAGGATGTTATTGGATTGGATATTGTTTACAAATAGATTTCCAAACTTTTAAGTTACGAAGTCCATCAGGTTTATGCTTCTCAAGGAATACTCACTACAAAATGCAATTAATTTAATAAAGGTGCTTGTATGGGCTAATTAATTGCTGGACTAATTAATTGCTGGCCAGAGCTTTGAAAGGCAACATAACACAATCACCACTATGCTTGCTTCTCATGGTGAAAAGACACAACAATGCTTTGCTGCCATGGTTACGCAACAATCAGAAGTTGTTTCTGCACATCTGGGAGGAGATTTTAGAACTATTTCTTTTCGTTTTCTCCCTTTTATCTTTTTAAGTGTAATGCATAATAAAAGTATTATAAAAGAAGAACCGCCACAAGAACATTGCTCTCGTGACGAATGACATTTCGACTCCTTCCACTGAGGGCAAAAGAAACAAACTTTCAGCAAGCCAACATTAAGGTGACCTTGAGGTTAAATAAGGTTATTATGCAAGGAGCTTAGGACTATCACTAATGCACAGTGTTGGAAAACATTCTTGGAGATTATGTTATTTTCAGTTCAGCTGCTTCTGAACTGGAAGCCGGGAGTTACCTTAGCAAAGAGAAGACATCATATGAGTTACGCACACAATTTGGATCCACTTGCAGATTCTTTTGGATTTCTGAGACACCCTTAAAGACAAACAAGATGGTACATTAACATTTTTTGTTTTGGTAACACTGAAATCAAAGTCTATCTTCCTAATTAAACAATCTCTACTCGCATGTTTTGCCCATACACAGCGTTTACAGCCTATCCTTTACGTGGGATATTCGTGTTTACCAATCTTTATCCCCAAGTTACTCTTCATCATCGTCTTTTAATAACCCCATAATCCTTTGCAGGGTGGAGTCTGAGCAACTGAATGGAGCTAGCAGAGTGTTTACTGGCCAGATGCCTTTCTTGTCGCCAATGCGGAGCTATATATTCAGCAGATATATTCTCATCGTGCCCAAAGGGAGAAATAGCTGCCTCTACATAGCCTCCTGATTGTGAGGCGAGAGCTCCACCTCTAGGCCACTGCACCACTCCCCAAGCTACTCTTATTCTTATTTATTCATTAGATTTTTGTCCCACCTTATTTTTTTTATAAATACCTCAAGGCAATGAACATGCCAAACATACTGAAGACTCCTTCTTCCTCCACAACAACCCTGCAACCCTCTCTCTCCCTGGGCTGAGAGAGTGTGGCTGACCCAAAGTCACCCACCTGGCTTTCATGCCTGAAGTGGGACTAGAACTCACTGTCTCCGGTTCTCTAAGCCAACACCTTTAACCACTAGGGCCAAACTGGCTCTCTAGGTTTCACCACAGTTAATTCAATTTTTAATAAAACGGAAAAAATATTCTGGAAAGCTAATGTGCTATGCAGGTTGATGATTTTAAGAAGTTATGGACGCAGCGGGTGTAAGCTTACCTTTCGTTCGTACAAGGCTCCATAATAGCCATCATTCAGCCCAAAAATGATTTCATTCGGGCTACGAGCATGTATCTGTTAAGTAAAACCAGTGTCACAGATTCAGTCAGCTTACTTTAAAGCCATTGTTTTAGTTCTTTTAGCACCCAGAGTGGCATTCTTTGTAGGGATCATTTGTTTTGTGGCATCCTTCTGTTATTCAGGTTCACCACTGACCCTATAGAGGGGAAAGGAAGAAGCTGAAACTCGATCCCATGAGTAAGATTCATTTTCTGGGCCACAACGAACATTATAAGAGAGCTTAAAAACTAATACATAATCACACATAACCTTAGCTTACAGGGGCCTAGGCCACCCCACAAAATCACAATAAAATCTTCAGTATTTATAGTCTACTGAAGAACGCCTAAAGCTAAACATCTGGAATTCACTGAAGAAACTTCTTCGATGAGAAGTGAAATATTTTCAAGGAAAAACAGAAAACAAGAAAGTCTAGTGCCCTTTGGAAAAGCACCTCTGGGGCAACCATGACCTGGAACCTCCATAAACATTTAACCATCTGGAACTTTTAACTAATTTGGATAGATAACGAACAAATTGAATATACTTCTATGCAGATTGTCAATTTTCAAAATGAGTGATTAATGAGACAACCCTGTAGTCCACTGGCTCATTCTTTTGAGAGTGTGGCCTGATATGATGAGAATCGTCATCATCATCTTTTAACGATCCCATAATCTCTTCAGGGCAACTGAATGGAGCTGAGTGTTTCCTGGCCGGATGCCCTTCCTGTTGCCAATGCGGAGTTTTGTTGAGCAGATATATTCTCAACGTGCCCAGAGAGAGAAATATCTGCCTCTACCAAGGATCGAACTCACAGCCTCCTGTTTGTGAGGCGAGAGCTCTACCTCTAGGCCACCGTACTACTCTGATATGACGAGAATGACCATTGCATATTAAACTGATCGTATTTCTTTTACCCTAATGCTGGACAGTCTCATCTACGAAAAGTATGTATCATAAATTGAAAATTAATTGTAGTGGCAACTGAAGTTCAGTAACAAGTCAATATGCACTTACTTAAACAAATAAACAGGAAGATCATAGGCAGGCAAAGCAGTGAGAGTGGGAATGACATTTGACTTCCTTCTGGCTTCCCCACTGACTATGCTTGTGGGAAACGGGCAGGGAGTGTTGAAATCATGATCACGTGACTGCAAAATCATGATCACACCATACTGCAATAGCCACAATTTTGCACGTAGAACTGACCTGAACATCATGGAAATTTCAATTCCAGAGGACTAATGAGTCCTGGATTCTTTTATGCATATTTAAATTAAATTAATTAATTTAAATTAATTTAAATTAATTTGCAGGGATGCTGCAATAGCCACAATTTTGCACCTAGAAATGACCTGAACGTTGTGGAAATTTCAATTCCACAGGACTAATAAGTCCTGGATTTTTTAATGCATTTTTAAAATTAATTGTTTAAATTAATGAATTTTAGGTTATCTTGATTCAAATATTGTTGTGGTATAATGCACGGTTTGGGTTACCTTGATGGTACAAGCAGATAAATACAATAAGGGTTTCAGTAATATATAGAAAATTCCTATTAAGCTGCCAATATTTTGTCTAGCATCTGCTAACTTTATATCTTGCACCAAAAGTCCTTTTCAAAAAGCAACTGGACTTTCCGAGATTTTTTTTTCCCTTGAAAACATTTCGCTTCTCATCCAAGAAGCTTCTTCAATTCTTCCGAAGCTTCTTGGATGAGAAAGGAAACATTTTTCATGAGGGGGGGGGGGAACCCAAGAAAGTCCAGTTCCCTTTTCTAAAGGATCTTTGGGACAACCATAACCTGGAACATTGAGCATCTCCACAGAGACTTATATCTTGCAACAATTCTTTGCTAGTCCATCAACAGACATTTGCTGTAAATATCCTTAAATAGCCAATCCAAGTTGAAACAGTATACTTTTCTTTTACCTGCTGGCCCAAATATTTGAGTCCATCTAGATTGACTTTCCACTCAATCAGTAGCCGATAGGTATCATTCTTGCCACCCCATATCCTCACCACAAAACAGGATACAGACGTATCAAGGCGGTCAGGCATTAGACCAAAATCAAGGCTTCGCCATGTCGGGTTCTGTTAGTGTGGAAAGAAGAGAGAATGAACTGTAAATATTCCAGATTGTTTTCCCGCACAGAGATTAGTCCTACCGCAAGGGTCGGCAACACGTGGCTCTGGAGCCGCATGTGGCTCTTTCATCCCTCAGCTGCGGCTCCGTCGCCAGTCGGCTCCACAATTGATAGGGCTTTCAGTTAGGACAGATAGAGGAAAAAGGATGCTGCGCTAGGTGGAGATTCTATGGAGGGGGAACTGGGCTTCCTGTCAGCTCCAGAACTGAATGGGGGAGGGGGTTCCGGTTAGGACTTTTGTGACTCTTTGAATGTTTAAGGTTGCCAACCCCTGGTCTCCCGGAAGTCCTTGATATTAAGACCGGAATTGAATCCAGAATTAAGAGTCCTAAGACATGAGCCGAGGTGGCGCAGTGGTTAGAGTGCAGTACTGCAGCTACTTCAGCTGACTGCTAGTTCAGCGGTTCAGCGGATCAAATCTCACCGGCTCAAGGTTGACTCAGCCTTCCATCCTTCCGAGGTGGGTAAAATGAGGACCCAGATTGTTAGGGGGCAATATGTTATTTAGTATACTGTCTTTGGTGTAAGCCACCCAGAGTCCTCGGAGAGAGGGCGGCATAGAAATATGAGTAATAAAATAAATAAAATAAATAAATGGGTGGTCATTAAGCAGGTCACCATGTGGCCATGCCCAATTTTACTACTTTGTTGCAGCAGTCATTAAATGGCTCCGTTCCATTCGAAATCAGCAAAAAATGCTGAAAATTGCACTCCCACAAACACGGGATGTTGCAAACAGCTGTTGATATGAGCCAGTTGCTAAACATCCCAAATGCAATTACGTGACCGTCATTTTTAAGTTTTTACGTTTTATGATTCTAAGCTGCTCAGAGTTGCCTTGAGGTTAAGATAGGCAGCCTACAAATTTTATTAACAAACAAATAATACATAAAATAACCCTGGGGGGTGGGGCATCAGAACTTCAAAAATAGGCTATTAAGTAGCTCTGGGGAGGTCTGTTGTAACTTGGAATGGTGGCTAAGTGACCGGTTGTTAAACAAGGACCAGCTGTGTGTTAAAAAGGCTCCCAAAGAGGGTGGGTGAGTGAGTTGCTCAAAGTTCGTCTTGAGGCAGCCAATTATTCGGTTACATAATAGGTTTCCAAAGAACGTTAGAGCCAAGGTGGCGCAGTGATTAGAGTGCAGTACTGCAGCTACTTCAGCTACTGTTCAGCAGATCAGTGGATCAAATCTCACCGGCTCAAGGTTGACTCAGCCTTCCATCCTTCCGAGGTGGGTAAAATGAGGACCCAGATTGTTGGGGGCAATATGCTATTTAGTATACTGTCTTTGGTGTAAGCCCGCCCAGAGTCCTCAGAGAGTGGGCGGCATAGAAATATGAATAATAAAAATAAAATAAAATAATAAATAAACGTTGAAGGGCAAGCAATCTGCATTTCCTCCAAATTAGACAATTGCAGAATCTGTTCCATTCATGGGAGAGTCAGTAGTTCAGGGTTGATGGGATTAGCTTCATTTGGAATGGCCGAGAGAAGGTGCTACTTGGAATTGGACCAGTGACTCTAGGTCAGGGGTCGGCAACCTGTGGCTCTGGAGCCGCATGTGGCTCTTTCATCCCTCTGCTGCGGCTCCCTGTCACCGGTCGGCTCCACAATTGAAAGGGCTTTCGGTAGGACAGGTAGAGGAAAAAGGATGCCACGCTAGGAGATCGTATGGTGGGGGAATCGGACTTCCAGTAAGCTCCAGAATTGAAGGGGGGGTTTCCGGTTAGGACTTTTGTGGCTCTTTAGTGTTTAAGGTTGCCGACTCCTGCTCTAAGTCCTTGTCCAGCTGTTAGGATCCAGCAGGGAGAGTCTATTGATTAAGTCCAAAATGTAGATGTCTCTTCATCTGAATCCAAAGTGCTGCACAGCCCTAATGTGGATACAGGTAGTCTTCAACTTACGACTGCAATTGGGCCAAATGTTCATGTTGCTAAGCAAGAAATTTATTAAACGGGTTTTGCCCCATTTTACGACTTTTCTTGCCACATTTGTTAAGTGAATCACTGCAGTTGCTAAATTAGTAACACGGTTGTTAAGTGAATCGGGCTTCCACAGTGACTTTGCTTGTCGAAAGGTCGCAAAACGGGATCACGTGACCCTGGGGCACTGCAACTGTCATAAATGTGAGTCGGCTTTCAAGCATCTGAATCTAAACCGTAAGTGTGAAAAATGGTCGTAACTCATTTTTTTCAGTGCCATTGTAACTTCGAACGGTCACTAAGTGAACTGTTGTAAGTCGAGGACTACCTGAATATGTATCAGACCTGGGAATTAGGAAGATCACCTGTATTGGAAAGACTTTTTCCAAAGGGACAGATGTATACCTTTTGGGAGCTGTGCTTTATTACAAATCGTCATTAAAAGCTTCACTAACAATTGATGGATCAGCTATGACCTTACCTGAACCAAAATAGACTAGCTTCTGTGATCCATTTCCTAATTAACCTCACAAATTGCACTCGGTAGGGAGCTATCCTTCAAAGATGGTCAGGAAATTGATTCAGATCACCGCTGCGCAACTATTATGTGACACTACTTTAAAAAGCAGTACTGGCTACCTGTGAATTCTCAAGATCAATGTAAGATACTTGTTTTCTATTCGTTCGATAGACCCCTTGCCCTTCAGCTCAAACAAGCATTCAAGGTGGCTAAGGAAAATGTTAAAGCCATCATTCAAAAGACAGGGGGAGTGGAATCATTACTAACAGGTTCCATATGCTGGTAAGAATATCAATAAAGGAGAATATTTGTAGTGCAGGGTTGAAATGGGGGATCCTTGGTGCTCTCTGAGCGAGAAGAGCAGAGCAGAGCAGAGCAGAGCAGAGCAGAGCAGAGCAGAGCAGAGAAGAGAAGAGAAGAGAAGAGAAGAGAAGAACAGAGTTGGGAGGGACCTTGGAGGTCTTCTAGTCCAACCCCTGCTTAGGCATTTCAGACTCTTTTTAAAAACTTTCAGTGTTGCAGCATTTACAACTTCTGGAGGCAAGTTATTTCATTAATTGTTCTTTCTGTCAGGAAATTTCTCCTTAGTTATAAGTTACTTCTCGCCTTGATCAGTTTCCATCCGTTGCTTCTTGTCCTGCCCTCAGGTGCTTTGGAGAAGAGCTTGACTCCCTCTTCTTTGGGGCAGCCCCTGGGATATTGGAAGGCTGCTATCATGCCTCCCCCTAGTCCTTCTTTTCATTAAACTAGCCAGGCCCAGTTCCTGCAACCGTTTTTCATATGTTTTAGCCTCCAGTCCCCTAATCATCTTGGTTGCTCTTCTCTGCACTCTTTCTAAGAGACTCAACGTCTTTTTTTATATCATGGCGACCAAAACTGCATGCAGTATTCCAAGTGTGGCCTTACCAAGGCATTATAAAGTGCTATTAACACTTCACGTGATCTTGATGCAATGTTTTCTTGCAAACGTTTCATTACCCTAACTAGGTACCATCATCAGTGCTAGTGAGTATGAGTCTAGGAGCTCATACTCCCACCCCCATTTGCTCTGTCCCCTCGGATGTAGCATCAAGGAGGCTGCCTTCTCAGTAACATCCCAATTACAACCATGGAAATCCTACAAGGATTCTTGGTTCCCCCTCTATTCATTGCCTTCATGCAAATCACTCTTCTCAGACCCATAACAGCTACTTTAATCTTGTGGAATACAGGTAGTCCTTGACTTACGACCACAATGGAGCCCAAAATTTAGGTTGCTAAGTGAGACATTTGGGAAGAGAGTTTCGCCCCATTTTGCGACTTTTCTGGCCACATTTGTGAATCATTGCAGTTTGTTAAGTTAGCAATACAGTTGTTAAGCAAATCTGGCTTGTCAGAAGGTCACAAAAGGGGATCACATGACCCCGGGACACTGCGACTGTCATAAGTATGAACAAGTTGCCGAGTGTCCGAATTCTGATCACGTGACCATGGGGATGCTGCAATGGTCATATGTGTGAAAACAGAAAAAACAGGCATTAAGTAGCTCTGGAGAGGTCTGTCATAACTTCAAATAGTGAGTAAGGGACCAGTCATAAGTCATTTTTTTCAGTTCTGCTGTAACTTTTGAGCCGTCACTAAACAAACTGTTGTAAGTCGAAGACTACCTGTACTTATCACTCATACCTGGCTACACCAGGTAGTTACACCAGTTGAAACACGAGCATCTACAGTGACAGTCACTGGCTTCAAAATGGCAGGCACAACTAGCCCAACTAAAGCAGCTTCTATTATTTTATTTCTTGAAGACATTTATACAGTATAACCACCCATCTTGTAACCAACATGAGGACGCTCCCAATCCAGTTAAAACAATATACAAAAACCATATCAAAACTCCCAAAATTAGCTTTTTAGCTCTTTTTAGCTTTTTAGCTTTTTAAGTGTAAATTGGGTTTTAATTGGATTGTTTTAAATTGTGGGCCAAAGCTGTATAATTCTTTTAATTGATTTTAAATTTTGTATTGGTATGTTTTTTATCCTTGGCTGTGCACCGCCCTGAGTCCAATAGGAGAAGGGCGGTATATAAATTGAAAAAATAAATAAATAAATAAAATTAACATATTACATTTAAAAAAAAAACAAAAACAACTCTTATTTCATGCAATGAATGCAATAAACATTAAAAATGGACGGGGATCACCTTGTCGCATCCACCATTTTGAAGCCGATTATGTAAATGTAGGCTGAAACCACTTAAAGCAGCTCCAATTTTTCCCTTGGATTATTGTGGCTGCCTTCTATAGACATAGCATTCCATACTATGATCCACAAAAATCTCGTCAAAAGCTCGTTAGCAGTCTCTGGTTTAAAGCAGTAATAGATATAACTCAGGGAGTTTGCACAGGGAGTGACACGAGGGGAAAAACTGTCCCATTTCGTGGTTAATAAACATTACAGAGCAAGGGTGGGCAACTATGGTGATTTTACCACCCGTGGACTTCAATTCCCAGAATTCCAGCATGGCTGGCTCAGGAATTCTAGGAGTTGAAGTCCACGGGTCATAGGGTCCCCAGAATTGCCCACACCTGGTTTAAAGGAAAAGATTAAAAGAAAAACCTTAGTAAAGGTAATAACAAGCTCACTTACCAGTGAATTCTTTATGACCTCACTCTTATAAAATTCTATTAAGAAAAAAAGAAAAGAAATTAAAAGGAAGTTAGGGATCAGATTGCACAGATTCCTAAGGATATTGAGCCGGGAGAGCAAAACAGCGATTGATAATTAACTCAAGTGGAAGTGCAAGAGATGTCAAGGTATGCAAACAATGGTTATTGTAAAATATTATCCTGCGATTACATGGAAAACAACCCATAGCTACTGAACACTTGTTATCGGGAAAGCCTTCTTTCTTTGATCACGCATAAAAATCAAGCAAGCTCTGTATTTCTCTGAAAAGAGTTTTGATCAAAGAAATCACAAAGGTTCTTCAGTATCTAATCAGCATAAAGATTGTGGCCAAAAACCCAATATTTGATTGTGGGAGGGGCAGCAAAAAGAACAGGCATTACCGTGTTTTTCGGAGTATAAAACGCTCCGGACTATAAGACGCACCTACCTTTTTTGGTGAGGAAAAGAAGAAAAAGAAATCTGCCTCTGCCTCTGAGCAATTTTGCCTCTTTGCAACGAACAGCCTGCTTTACTTTCATTTTCGTTTTCAGCATAGCTTGATTAGCACAAGAAAAAAAAAATCTGCTCCCAGCAATTTACCTCTTTGCAGCAAGCAGCAGAGCCCTGCGCAAAACAGCCGAGAGTAAAACAGCTGAGAGTCAGGAGGCCGATCCAATCAACTTGTGCTAATTAGGCTGTGCTGAAGCTGAAATGGGCTGTTTCTTCTTGCTGCTTGCTACAAGGAGGTAAATTGCTGGGAGGCAGAGGACAAAGGGTGGGGGCCAGTGGGTGGGCGGGGTTACATTTGGTGTATAAGACCCATCTAAATTTTCACCCCCTTTTAGTGCAGGAAAAGGTGCATCTTATACTCCGAAAAATATGGTAAATAGCTCTGGAGAGGTCTGTCATAACTTCAGATAGATACTAAGGGACCGGTCATTAAGCGAGACATACTTGTGTCTTTCAGCTACTCAGGCCAATGGCTGATGCCACCCTTACTCTGAGGGATCGCAGAGAGATATAAATTATTATTCAAAGCTTAGTTATTGAGATATAAGCATTTGTCGTGGTAACATCAAATTCCTAGAACTGCGTGATATAATTTCATCCAATTATCAGTAAACAAAGGCACATTAATCAGATCGCATAAACAAAAAGTGTAAATAGTCAAATCGTTCATGATTAAATATTATATACAGGTAGACCTCGATTTACAACCACAACTGAACCCAAAGTTTCTGCTGGTACGTGAGACATTTGTGCTGAAGTTTGTTTCGATCCTGAATGGCTCAAGGTTGACACAGCCTTCCATCCTTCCGAGGTCGGTAAAATGAGGACCCAGATTGTTAGGGGCAACAGGCTGACTCTTAAGAGAGGGGTGTAAAGCACCGTGAAGCGGTATGTAAGTCCAAGTGCTGTAGCTATTGTCCCATTTCACGTCCTTTCTTGCCACAGTTGTTAAGTGAATCACCAGAGCTTTTAGGTTAGTGACAGGGTTGTTAAGTGAATCTGGCTTCCCCATTTACTTTGCTTCTCAGAAGGTCGCAAAAGGGGGTCACGTGACCCCGGGATACTGCAATCGTCATAAATATGAGTCGGTTGCCAAACACCCAAGTTTTGATCACGTGACCACAGGAGTGCTGCAACGGTCATAGAGTGTGAAAAACTGTCACAAGGCAACGGACACCTGTCAGAGCTGAGCGGGAAACTGTGGCTGACTTGATTGGCCCATGTGACCTAAAAGACACAGGGGGTGGGGAAATCCTATTCTTTTAACTATCCCTAAGTGCGGGATATGTGCAAGGGGAACCTTTACCTTTAAGAGGGATGCAGTGGCTCAGTGGCTAAGACGCTGAGCTTGTCAATCGAAAGGTCGGCAGCTCAGCGGTTCGAATCCCTAGCACCGCGTAATGGGGTGAGCTCCCGTGACTTGTCCCAGCTTCTGCCAACCTAGCAGTTCGAAAGCAGGTAAAAAATGCAAGTAGAAAAATAGGGACCACCTTTGGTGGGAAGGGAACAGCGTTCCGTGCGCCTTTGGCGTTGAGTCATGCCAGCCACATGACCATGGAGACGTCTTCGGTCAGCGCTGGATCTTCGACTTTGAAACAGAGATGAGCACCGCCCCCTAGAGTCGGGAACGACTAGCACATATGTGCGAGGGGAACCTTTACCTTAAGTGTGGGAACTACTTAAGAGCTAGTTTCATCTTTCTACGTGCCAATATGATGTACTCAATAAAGGGTTTCTTGAACCTGAACGAAGTGTCAGAGTCCTGACTTCCTTGAGTTCATTACTCCGAACGATGACAGTAGGTGTAAGTAAGTATTAATTAAATATTCACATTAGTGTTCTTACACTCTTATGATGACTACAGTAAGAGAGCTCCGAGATCAGCACAAATTTTGCATTTGGCACAAACTTGATCAATTAATACTAATTTAAATACCTCATCAGGTAGCTTATGGAATAAAATAGCAGCATGCCAACAGATGATGCAGTTACAAGGATATTCAGTGGTTGGTTTAACACCACTAGATTAAGCAAAGCCATATAACAGAACTGTTATATTTTATCCAACACACATTAGGCAAAACTACAGGTAATCCTTACAACAGCTCGTTCTGTGACCGCTCAAGGTTACAACGGCACTGAAAAAAATGACTTATTATGACCATTTTCACATTACGACCGTTGCAGCATGATCCTCATGGTTATGGGGTCAAAATCTGGATGCTGGGTAATTTGTTCCTATTTATTACGGCTGCAGGATCCCAAGGTCATGTGATTCCCCTTTTGCGACCTTCTGACAAGCAAAGTCAAATGGGGAAGCCAGCCCGTTTATGAGAACCCTCGTAACATGCTCTAGAATTTCTACTTATGCCCAGAAGTCTTTTTTTTTTTTTTTTTGCTTTGCTGGAAATAAAGATTTATGTATTTATTTATTTATTTATTTATTGGTTCGATTTATATGCCACCCTTCTCCAGACACTCAGGGCGGCTTACAATGCGTTAAGCAATAGCCTTCATACTTTTGTATATACCTGCTTAGTAGGGCTTTCGGCCCCCCCCAAGCGGTGTTCTTTTTTTATACAAAGTCAGCTTATTGCCCCCACAATCCGGGTCCTCATTTTACCTACTTCGAAAGGATGGAAGGCTGAGTCAACCTTGAGCCTGGTGAGATTTGAACTCGCAGTAATTGCAGGCAGCTGGCAGCTAAGTGCTACTTAACAGCACTTTAGTCTGCTGCACCACCAAGGCTCCTTACAAGATGATGCAGAGGAAAGCAAAGTGATTGTTTTCTTGAGCGATGAGAAGATTTCTCTTCTCTATGAATGAAGGCGAATGTACGTGTCCCGAGGATAAAGTTGCAGGATCCAATCTGGGTCGGTCACCGGGACCAGAGGGTTTGACTTCCGAGCTTTCGGACTCATGCTGGAGTCTATCCTTAGGGAACCCCCTGAGAATGGGCTCCAGCACGAGTCCAAAAGCTCCGAAGTCAAACCCTCTGGTCCTGGCGACAGACCCAGATTGGATCCTGTATTATGCATGTATTTGATTTCAGTTAACTGCCCATCTCAGTATCTAATCCTAGCCTATTTTTCAATCATCAACTATATAAAATATTATCATGTCATTTGTGAAGGAATATAAAAAGCTCTAAAGAGAGACTTCCTAGACCAGGGGTGTCAAACTCAACGCCCGGGGGCTGGATCCGGTCCACGGGGTGCTTAGATACGACTAGTAGGGCTGTCCTGGAAACAGCAAAGGACCGGCCTGAGATGCGTCTGCTAGTGAAAACAGAGCTCGGGAGGGCCACGGGCATCCCACCCGAGCTCCGTTTTCGCTGTCAGAGGGTTACGGAAAGCCGTCGCAGCCGAAAACGGAGCTCAGGAGCCCATTTTCACTGGCAGAGTGCTCGGGCTGCCCCAGGCGCCCCTGACACGAGTGATCTTGAGCTGGCCACACCCACCCCAGCCCCCACTCCCGAGGTCAAACACAACCCTGATGTGACCCTCAATGAAATCGAGTTTGACACCCCTGCCCTAGACAAACTGAGTTGATGGAGATGGAAATCAATGACAGAAACAGACATCTCTTTACCTTTACATATATTTATGTTGTCGCACAAGTGAAGAGTGAAATAGGTATCCAGGAGGCGATAACCGTTCCTATTGACAATATTCCGGGCTGCGATGTTACGCAAATGACGGAGACGACGCTGGAAAAGAAAACGTTACAAATATTAAGCAATGTTCGCGTTAAAGCTATTTAACAAATGCTATATTGTTTTAACATGTAATAAGAACTGCTCATGTTTGTTTCGAGGTATTTTTATTCTTTATAAAGCTTTGTTCTCAAGGACCCAGCCTGCTATTGTCCCTCTGCCACAGCCTTTCAAATAAAAATCCTACGTGTGTTCCTTAAGCACCCAGATGTAGAAAGCACAATAAATTCTCTCGTTATATATAGCTTCAGTTAAAAATTACACTCTTCACAGACAGCTGGTCATTTGCATCCTTTTAGAGAGTTGCTGAGACCACTTGAAGGTTTGTCTGTGTCCTTAAGGTCACCTGAGTAGTGCAAATGGGTGTGGAGCCTTCTTGGAACTACTGAAACATCCTGCAGAAAGCACAGCTCCACAACACAATCCTTTCGGCCGTTCCAAGAAGGCTCCACACCCATTTGCACCACTCAGGTGACCCCGAGGACACAAATGTCCAAGTGGCCTCAACGACCCTCAAAAAGAATGCAAATGATCAGCTGTCTGCAAGGAATATCAATCCTTCCATTCCCCACCATCCAGTCTGAGCTGAAGAAGCTTCTTGGATGAGAAGCAAAACATCTTCAAAGGAAAAAAACAAGAAAGTCCAGTTGCCTCCTGAAAAAAAAAGCCTCTTTGGGACATTGAAAAACAGAAATATTTCAGCAGAAAGCAGCAGTACATAGGGAGTATTTCACCAATTCTAGCAGCCTCCCGCAACTGCCTCTGTAAAACACACTTACAAACCACAGTACACCAGTGCCAATTAAAATTATCTCTTCATATCCATTTCATTCTGATCAAGAAAATCACATTACAATCTCAATGGCTATTAACTGTTAATATGGTTTTAGTCCATTAACTGTTACAAAACAGTTTTCCAGGAAGAAATAAAACCATAGATAAAAACCATCTGGAGAATGACATTTCCTAAACTATTCAAAGACTGTTTTTTAAAAAAAACATTTGTTGAACAGTAAGCTAAAAACTACGGCTTATAAAGTAGAATGCTTGGCTTCTCACTTCTCACTGAACAGCAATAACTCTTTCAGCAACTTAGTGTTAGATGAAATTTTAATTCCCCCTGACTACTTCTACATTTTCCACATAATTTGTTTTATTCAATTTGCAACACAAGCTGCAAGTAGCGGATCACAGGTTTTTTTTAAAAAAAATGTGTTACATTATGTAAAAAAAATATGATGGATTGGTAGATAAATAAATAAACATAAGGATTTACAACTTTCCATTCATTCCTTTATTAAAAGTATTAAATGAGACTATACAAAAAAGCAGGACTTTTCCAAATACACATCATTCTCTACATGAAAACTTGAATGTGTCACTATCCAAAAGGAAAACATGAATAGGTAATGATTCTATCTTGTTTTAATGAATCTTATTAATTTCTGAGCTGTAGTGGCGCCATGGTTATAGAATGCAGTATTGCAGGTTTAACTCTGCCCACTGCCTGGAGTTCAATCCTGACCGGATCAAGGTTGTCGTCCATCCTTCCGAGGTCAGTAAAATGAGGACCCAGATGGTTGGGGGCAAGATGCTGACTCTGTAAACTGCTTAGAGAGAACTGTAAAGCACTATGGAGCAGTATATAAGTCTAAGTGCTATTGCTATGGCTAATTTCCTTTCATTAGAAACTTGAGTCAATAGAGAATCATATTTTTTTCTAGGAAACTCTTCTGCTCTTGGAGGAAAGAAAATAAAAGAGGTTGTTACGAAACTCTTCCCTTACCATTTCCTACTGTTGTTTCTTTTTTGCATATCAAACTTCCTCTTTTCCTATATCAGTTTACTGGGCCAGGGCAGGGCACCAACAGGCTCACGTAAGAGTGCTGCAAAAATTGCAGCAAGAATTATATTGTACACATCTTCCTGAATATTTACAAAAATCACTTGGACCACTGTGGCAAGATCTACATGGGGCTGCCCTTGAAGAGCATTTTCAGCTGCTCCAGAACACAAGTGGCTCCAGTAGGTATGAGCATTTCATGATGCACTTGAGAATTGCACTAGCTGCCATTGATTCAAAGTTCTGCTTATCAAGTGAAAGCCCTTCATGGAATACAGGGCCTGGATATCTGCAGGACCCCTGCCTTCCAGATAACATCAAATAAGGTGGGTTCCATCTGTGCCCCCTAATTCAGGGACTGCATCTTTAGGGGCCATGGACAGATAGCAATAGCACTTTAGACTTGTATATCACTTCACAGTGCTTTCCATCCCTTCCTAAATGGTTTACGGAGTCAGCCTCTTGCCCCCAACAATCTGGGCCCTCATTTTAACCACCTCGGAAAGATGGAAGGCTGAGTCAACCTTAGCTGGTCAGGATCGAACTGCTGACAGTCGATGTCTTTTCAATCACTGCTTCCTCCTTTGGCCTAGTCTGGAAGTTGAATCATGACAACTGGACTTCTTTTATTTTTTTGGTTTCAAATGTTTCGCTCCTTATCCAAGTAGCTTCTTCAGTCCTTTGACGTAGCATTTTCTTGGACATCTTCCTGTCTCTCTTGGAAAGTCAGAGCTGGTTGAGCCAAAAGATCTTAGGAGCTGGAATAGTCTGGCTTCTCTTAGCTATGAAAGTTGCATGATGGTTGGCTGGATTGTCGAGTGTTCCTAGTCCTATATATGTGATTTTATAAATTATATGGATTGCTACTTTTTTGTGTTTGTGTTCTTCTGATGATACAAAATAGGGATATATGACATTCAGAGCTGATTTTGATTTAAGTGGCTTATAAGCCCTGTAAATTCTTGAATAAATACATTTATATTCTGGATCTTAAATAAGACACCTCAAAATGCCAAAAGTACCTAAAAACCCTTCCCTAGGCTTCATTCATTACCAGATTTTGTTAAGGTTCTTTTAATTTTTTTATATGACATTTTTAAAGTATGTTTTAATAGTTTTGTAATACTTTTCATTTGTGTAAGCCATTCAGAGTCATGCATTTGAGATAAATGGCCACCCATCTCAAATGTATGAACCTGGGTGGCTTTATAAATCAAAATAAGCAATTTTTTTTAAAAAAAATAAGAAATTAAATTGGAAGCTAACATATTACAAAGTTAATATTGCCCTCACACATACTATTTAGTTACATAATAAATAATAATAGTAAGTAATAGTAAGTAATAGTAGTAGTAGTAGTAGTAGTAGTAGTAGTAATAATAATAATAATAATAATAATAATAATAATAATAATAATAATAATAATAATATTTTTTAAAAACATAGTATTTGGTTTCAAGCGTGTTTTCGGGTCCTTACAGTGCTTCAAGAATCTCTGGGGCACTGTAAAAATGAAGCCTTCAAATTTAGGGGGAAATCTGACTGCCTGTTTCAAAAAATAAGCTGCAGTAATAGAGAATTTCTGAGAGGCTACGGCAGCCACAGGTAGTTGTGTGAATAAAATCTAGAGAAATCTCTATTGTACCTAAAACACAGCGGATGGCAGTAGAATTGAAATAGCATCCCCATGAAAGAGGTTTTCTTTATTTCTATATAAAAATGCATCTGCTGACTGAATACCAACAAATCAGCAAAGCCACTTCAAAGAGATCAACTGATGGCAGCGTGACTACTCTCAACGTTAAGCTTATGCTATTACTCAAATACTATTCAACAGAATGTACTAAGAATATAGGTTGGCTTTGTTCTACTCAATAGCCTATTCACAGCCAAACAGGAAAATAACTCCCATGGAGTATTAAGCTCAGTAAGAACCTTACTGTGTTGAAAAAGCTGCTAGGCATAATTTTTTAAGAGAGACTGGCACAGACAAGGTGTTAACTTTCACATTCACTTCCAACACTTTGCTGCTTTAAATTATTTTAACAGTTTGTTTGGGCAATTGTTCTATACAGGGAAGGAAAGATGAAAAACCAAAAATAAAACACAGTATAGCCACAGGAAAAACCCATCTTCCAGCATGCAAATTCAATTTCCCCCGTTAGTAGAAACTTCTTCTGAAACAATACTGCAATTTAATATAGTTCAATCACACTCACATGCTCAACTATTTTTAACACAGAGATTAGTGGAAATTAGCTTCATATCAAATGCCACTGGACTCCTCCTACCTTAAGGACCATTCTCACAGCATTAGAAAAACAACTACATCACATAGAATCAAGATCACGTGAAGTGTTAATACCACTTTATAAGGCCTTGGTAAGGCCACACTTGGAATACAGCATCCAGTTTTGGTGGCCATGATGTAAAAAAGATGTGGAGACTCTAGAAAGAGTGCAGAGAAGAGCAACCAAGATGATTAGGGGACTGGAGGTTAAAACATATGAAGAACGGTTGCAGGAACTGGGCATGGCTAATCTAGTGAAGAGAAGGACTAGGGAAGACATAATAGCATTGTTCCAATATCTCAGGGGCTGCCACAAAGAAGAGGGAGTCAAGCTATTCTCTAAACCATTTGAAGGCAGCACAAGAAGCAGCGGATGAAAACTAATCAAGGAGAGAAGCAACCTAGAATTAAGCAGGAATTTCGTTCCAATTAATCAGTGGAACGACTTGCCTCTAGAAGCTGTGAATGCTCCAACACTGGAAGTTTTAAAGAAGAGATTGGATAACCATTTGTCTGAAGTGGTGTAGGGTTTCCTGCCTAAGCAGAGGGTTGGACTAGAAGACCTTCAAGGTCCCTTCCAACTCTGTTATTCTATTCTATTCTATTCTATTCTATTCTATTCTATTCTATTCTATTCTATTCTATTCTATTCTATTCTATTCTATTCTATTCTATTCTATTCTATTCTACATTAATGCCAACAAAGTATAGTGAATGACAACTCCAATAATTATCAGTCGGCATGAAGATGAAATCCATTATATCCAGAGGACACCAAACTGGGATAAGTTCTACTAAGGAACACCCAAAGAATTTGCCTTTTTTTTTAATCCAAGTTCTTATGATTGTTAGGGCAGCTAT